TTTCAAGCTGGCTTTCTCCAAATTTGCACAAGATCAGAGCAAGGGGGATTCATCTTGCTCACCTATGCCTGTCACAGAAGCATTTTTTTTAGAAAGCATCATACTTTCAATGCTAAGAGAGAATTCATCGTGTGAAGGCAGCACGTGTGTTTCTTCGGTGTATGTGACTAAAAGTTGGCACCAGATCAAAATTCTCTTGCTGTGTCTATGCCTGCAGATTTTGCAGGTTTCTTTCTAAGTTCATAGTCAAGAGAATTGGCTGCATTGATAAAATCATATTCTTGTTAGAAGCCTTTCTTTTAAATTGCTGAATTGTAGTCTCAAAATTAGATGACGCATGGTCTAGAAATGTCTAGGAAGTGGTGGAGATTACCACAACACTGAGGTTCCAGCTTTTCCCATTCATTAATTTTCCTCACTGGCCATTTGAAGGCCACACTTCTCTCAACAGAGAAAATAATAGTACTGAGTGATGTAAGATTCTACCTACCCCAGAGGCTAGATGAAGTCAAGGTTGCTAAACTTAATCTCTGGCTGCTGCCTTGTGTGTTACTGTATTACACTTGGGAGTTCACCGTTTTTGTGGCTTTCTTTGTGTTTTCAATGTGTATATGAAATTCTGTTCACAGTACTGAAATTTTCTTGTTCCCTCTGGTGTATCACCATAAATGGGGGTAGTGCTACCATAATCTGTGCCTGGGAAGAATTGTAGGACAAGGCTTATATATGGCTCTTTTCAGATGGGCAGCTCATCTTATTTCCTTTGTGTGACACAGAGCAGTTCTTACCAGCCCAGTCATGAATTCTTCAGAGAGGCATCATTCCTGCAGAGTGGCTGGGGATGTGAGGGCAGAGCAGAACAAGGGCTGCAGAATGACCCTTAGGGTCCTTAACCCACACTGCTAGTGTTGACATCCCCTCTTCCCCACCCCCACCCCGCCGCTTTCTGCCTGGCAGATCCTAACTCTGGATGGGAAAATTTTGTGTCCAGATTTAGGTACTTCTCAATTCAAAAGCCATTGCTCATTATCACTGGCAAAATTCTGAATGTTTTCTATGAAATATATACCTAGAAGCAAGGCAGAGACTGAATGTAACTGCATCTTTTTTTTTTTCCTACTAAACTTCAGTAAGAAATGTAGCTAACAGAGCTGCTCTCACAACAGAGAGAAGCTTAAATAATTGTAACTGAATATATGTGAGATTTCTGTAAGGGGACATTGTTTCCATTATAATATTATTCTATGACACTTCTCTTTCCTTCTGGAGGAGCTGATTGAAGCTTGATTTTAGATATGAAGTCTTTCTTCCTATCTTAAAAGTAACAGGGTGGCAGGGGATGTACTAAGTCAGCCTTGAATGCTGTTGAAACATGTAAGAAGGGAGACATTCAGATGGAATGCACAATTACAAGTTTCTTTAAATCTAATTTCATCGTACTTTTACACATCTGGATAATTAGCCAAGTGTTACATTCTCTCTAGTCTATTTTTACAAGTACAATATGCTGCTCATGTGATTTCCACTAGGCTTTTCCAAACATCATTTGAGTACTCAGAAAGATTGCAGAATCAAACTACTATTCCACTATGATGTCGAGACCTTTTTCTCATGGGTGAAATAAAAGATTGAGAGCTGAATTCTAAGATCCTTTTGATGTAGGAGGAGAATTGGAGGTTGATTGCTTCTTTAAGCTCTAGCAAATACAAGCATGTGCAAACACACCCTGATCTCTCTGGTCCTTCTAGTTGGAGGTGAGTGCAAATATGGTCACCCCGGGAAAAATTAACCAAACAAGAACAGTGGTAGAATCGCTGCTTAAAGTCTCTTGAAATATTAGAACGAAATAATAAGGGGAGACTAAAATCCAGATGTGTAGATTAACCTTGTCTGAATTGTCATGTAAGATATGCATGTTTATCTGGTGGAGTTCCTCATTTGAAGGTCACTGCCAAATTCTAAAATAATATGTGTCAGATAGTTTCTGGCTGCACTTTTCCTCTTTCCTTTTGTAATTGCTTTGATGTTGCTCTGAGCTCTCAGAACTGAGAGTTTGGTTGTGGTTGCTGTTGCCATTATTACAGGCAAAACTCAGAACAAAAGGAGCAAGAGTTGTTAAGGGTAGAGGATGACAATGATAAGTCTAAGTGACCACATAGTCTATTTCTTATCCATAATGCAGGCAACCTAAATCTTCCCCTCAAATGTGGGGCTCTATTCTACTTAAAATTCTTACACAAAGGAGAAAATTAGGGAAAACAAAACATACTTGATTTATTATCTAGTTGTCTTTTGAAGTGCTCGTGATGGTTAGAGAATTGTTAAATTGAAAAATAAATGATTCAAGAAGAATAAGTCTGGCTTTGCAAACAAAAAGAAATATATCTCAACAAGGAGGGTAAAAAATAATTAAAATTTCATTATAATGTTTTGGTATCTGTTTTCCATAAAATAATCCTATAATTGTCTACTGTGTGACAGTCTGAGTCAGTCAACCAATGGAAATGATTAATGGAAAAAGCAATGAAGGATTTGTCACACTGACACAAAGCAAGGAAGTGTGTGATAGTCATTATAAGCCAAAAAAATGAGACAAACATCATCACCATAATGTTAGAAGATGTGGACTTGAATATTAAAGAGGCTCCTTTTGGAAGTGATTATAGAACCCCATCTCACTGTCTTGTTTTTCATAGATGGTCAGCTTAGCAAGTGTGGCGTGGATAAAAACAAGATTGAGTCCCAGAGTGAGGGACCAGAGACCCATAGTGCATCCTAGGACTGACTGAACTGACTAGAATGTGCTTTGACAGGAGAAACGAGAGCTGTGGAGGCAGCCAGGCCTGCACTGAATTGCAGCTAGGCACATGACTAAAACACACAAACTCTTGTTTTCATCATTGTAAAATATAGGAAAATGATGTTTATTGTAAATGGACTCAGATTAAAGGAAGCAAAATAGTCTAGTTCATAGCAGATGCTCAAAAACTGAGTGGGTGTTGAAAGTACAGCATCCTTCTAAATTCCTTGCCTGGTTATATGCAAGATGGACATGACAGTCACAGTGGGAAGGTGCCATAAAAATGTGTATGTTTTAGGCTAAATTTCTCATTGCTACATATCATTACATCTCAGAAAGAGTGAAGAAAGGTGTTTTATTACCAGGTCTAACAAAAAGACAACCTGAGAGATAATATCACTAGAAGATATATATATATATTTTAGCATTTGTACCAGTTCCATAGAGAAAGCAATATTTAAAAATGGTGTTTGATATGCCATTCATTTATCAAGCCATTAATATATCTGTTTTGTGCTGAGCAGTAATTACTAATGAAACTATACATCTTGCTCTATCACGTTTGAGTCAATGATTCCATAATGGGTTTACAGAGCTTTCCAAGAGCAAGTTTTGTGCTTTATTTTTATTTTTATTTACTTATTTTTGTGGTACTGGGATTTGAACTCAGCCTTCTTGCTAGGCAGGTGCTCTATCACTTGAATCATAACTCCAGCCCTTTTTGCTTTAGTTATTTGTGGGATAGGGTTTTGAGTTTCTGCCTGGTCTGGTCTGGACCATGATTTTCCTATTTACACTTCCTGCAACTGGGATGACAGGCATGCACCACCATACCCAGCTTTTCATTGGGTTCTGGTGAACTTTTTGCCAGGATTAGCCTTGAACTGTGATCCTCCCAATCTCTGCCTCCTTAGTAACTATTATAGGTGTGAGTCACTGCACCTACCTGTATCATTCTTTTTTTTTTGTCTCCCTAACTACTTAGCATAGTGCCTTTGACAGAAGACTTACCTAATGGGCTGTTGTTGACTAAAATCTATGTAATATATCTTTACCAGTGAAATAACTATTCAAGGAAATGTGCTGTTTTGTTATCTCACAGAAATTTTGTTTGATGAATATTCACTTTCACTAAGCAAGAGAATATAGCAGTTATGCAACAAACCAGATTTCAGACATACATCTTTATATTACCACAAGAAAGCTGAAATGTACTCATGAGTGTGAATGGGTAAAGTGCTTTGATTCAGTACTTTGTCTAGGTAATTATTATTGCACAACAGGGCAACAGATATTGTGTAAATTATATTCGTTTATTATTAACTTGAAGGAATTTAGATTTTAGAGTAGGTCACACGAGGTATAAATCTGGCTCTCTCTCTTAATCTGTCTGAATCCTGATGTCTTATTTTGAAGTGGAAACAGTGGCATCTCCGGCATATGATTATGGGATGGTTTTAATAAGAGCTCTCAGGGGTTCCCAGCCTTTGAATACAGACCTCTAGAGAGCCTTGGATATGTAAAGCATCTGTGAATGCACAGCTGCCCACAGGAGGCCTCTAGTCTATTTTGAACCTGTGTGCATTGCTCTTTTTCATCTGCTAGGGGAAAAGATGTCCACAAAATATTTTGACCATGAAAAAGGACCCTGTGCTGGAAAAGGTTGGAAAATAGACATAAACTCAAGTGATGATTTTAGTGGCCAATGCATACTATTTTCCTTTTCCTCTTCTATTTTTTTAATGCATGGTGCACCATTATACAGATTTTGAAGTCTTATGTTTAGACTCAAGAATTTTTTTCCTTTTAATACAGGTTTGACTGGAGCTTTCTGGTAAGAAGAGCCCAATCAGTGGCAGAATTGTGTCTGTGATCAACATTATTTTATTTCAGAAGGAAATTAGAATGTTCATGTATCACATGTTTTTTTGGTTTTTGGTTTTTTCTTGCATGGAGGGAATATTGTTTGCTTTGTCACCTTACCTGTGACTTCTAGTTCACAAGGTGCTATTTAGTATGAAAAAAATAAGTGAGAGAAAGAACTGTTTGTTGTTGTGTAATTTACAATGGAAGATAAAGAAATGGATGATCCATCTCATGTGGGATTACTGCTGCTTATTGTCATTTTGGTAAGTTCAGGCACATGTAATTGTGTGAGCATCAGTCTGTGAGCATCCATTTCAGTGTTCATCCTTCTCAGTCTTATGCAGGGAAATACGTGCCGGCCATTGCACACTATATCCACTCCCTCAATCCCGAGAAGGAACTCAAGATCCACCTGAAAGGAGTTGCTCTTGGTGATGCATATTCTGATCCCGAGACGGTAGGTACCTTCATTTTTCTTTTTCATTTTCCCTTACAGAGATTTAAATCCTTTTTAATCTCTTACCTTAGAGGGCTAACTTGTTATACAGGCAATACCAGTTGACTTTATGACTTAAATATTCTAATTTTTGCTAAAAAAATTCAGCATGTTGGGTTACTATGTCAGCCTACATTGGCTGTTAGTACAAGTGTGCATTGTGTGTTGTGTGTATGTTTATGGAGTGTGTGTTTTTGTTTGTTGTGTGTTTGTGTTATATGTGAGTGCTTGTGTGTTACATGGGGTATGTATATAATTGTCTTACCTGACTAATTCCAGCACAAGATTGATAGTTCCAGAATATTACCTCACAAAGCCAGTGGTCTTCCAAGCCTGTTTGTCTTTCTTTCTGGCATTTTTAAGTGTTTCTTTTGTCCTCAGATTATAGGGGGCTATGCAACTTTCCTGTTCCAAATTGGCTTGCTGGATGAGAGGCAGAGAAAGTACTTCCAGAAGCAGTGCGATGAGTGCATAAAATACATCAAGAAGCAGAAGTGGCTGAAGGCCTTTGAAGTGAGTTCTGGGGCCCTGTGTTGCCCTTGAGCAATTAAAACCATGTGAGGAAAGAGGGGTGGGTCAAAGCACCATAGTGCTCACGCATTTTTGTGTGTGACAGGGAATATCTCTTCTGCTGTCTAAGATCGGGCAAGAGGAGTGGGCGTGTAATGAAGAAAAGAACCGTCTGTGTTTCTTTGAATTTACTTTGGCTAGGTTTTAAACCTGAGATCATCTTGGAGTGTTTATCTAACTGTGTCTTTCATTAACTGTCCTGATTTCTTTAAATGCTACAGAGGACCTAAAGGCATACCCTATCATATGGAAATCAGATGAAAGGCAACCCAAGAAGTCAATGCATAAGTTTCAACAGATGCTCTAAGCCATCTAGAAGGGTTATGTCCACAAACGGGGTTTTGGCTGGAGAAGCGACACACTGTGCAACAAATACACATGTCCTCCTGTGTTAGGAGCAAAGATTATACAACACAGTAATTTGAAACTTCTACAAAGAACCATTGGTGTTTGTGAATATTATTACATTGCTCCCCCAAAATTAAACTTAAGAATCTGAATGTAGTTTCGGAGCTGGGAAGGCATGACCTTGGGTACATAGTTATATGGTTATATTTTTCAGTCTTTTGTTTTCTTCTTTGTGGTTGTTTAAAATGTAAGAGTATATTCAATACTACAATATAGAAAGTTGAGTATTTTTCACCAATGCAGAGAAAAGCCATTAATAACAGTCTTCCTTAAGGGCTTTTCGCCATGTTTACTCTAAAGCCATCCTGTTTGACACATTGGTAAATGAGGTAAAGGCAGCATTGAAGCCCTCATCTGTTTGTTATTAGGCACATGTGGTATAGCAGTATGTGTACCTAAAGTCATCATGGATATCAAGGCCCAGCCCTGATGGTAATAATCTTCTGGACACTGCAGGTCAGCCAGTTCTGATCAAAACAGGAGTCATTCAAATTGGGAGGAAGAGGGGTAACTTAAAGGTATCGTCCATGTTACATATAGGCTGCCAGAACACTGACTGAATTCTCCAATAGCAGTGACTGCCCTTGCTATGAATTCTGATAACATCAAGATATGCAGATGGATTAAGAGAAGGAAGTTCCAGCCACCCAGCCCAATGGTAATAGGCTCTCATTTCTGTCTCAGAACACCATATTTGGCTGCAGAGTGTAAATTCAGAATTTCCTGTGTAATCATAAGCACAAGGAAGAGGGATCTTATCAGAGACATATAAGATCATGCTTCAACTTGCAATAACAGTATTTTTAAGACTGGTTTTAGGCTGTCTGCTATGGTAGTCAGCAAGTGGGGGGAAAAAGAGGGAACCTTTAGATTTTAGAATAAATACCAAATTTTATGTGGCATGAGACCAATTTGCAAGTCAGACATTTGATATGCTTTTAAAGAAGCACCCAGGGGTTATGCAATGTCAAGAACAAGAACATCTGAGTGGTCTGAGAGTCTGAAGAAAGCAGAGAGCTGTCTGTGGTACATGATACTATTGCCTAGACATCCACAGGATTAAGAAAACTGTTGAAAAGTCCAGATTTTTTATATATCCAGAGAAAGTGAGACTATGACTCAGATGGTTAAATGAAGTCTCTCCCAAACCAAATTCATCAGAAAACAACAACAAAAAACCAGACCCTTAAAGGTTCAGTGTACTTTTTTGACCATTGGTCCCATATTTTGAGTGATGAATTAAAATATAAAGACCTTTGTCTTCTCAAGGGAAATGGACAAAATAAAAGTTAGGAGTAATATGTGTTGAAATATGTTCCAGTGACTGCAGAGAAAGACTCCAGGAAATCTTGAAATCCAAGAGGATACGTATGTCAAAATCTCAGGCCTAATTGATACAGCTGTTTGATGCTCTTGGTCCTTAAAATAATGTCATTAACCAAAGAGCAGTAACTCACAGTTGGGGATAGGGAGCTTTAGAGAGAGTGTCCTATCCTTATACACATACACTAACCCACATTTTATTGATAAGGATACTGGGGCCCCAAGGGGTGCAACGGATCACAAAAGACACACATATAGATAGTGGTAGCCCTAGGGCTAAACATGTGCCCTCTGATTCCCACCCCAGTGTATCTTCTACAGTAATTTTTAGGCAGTCTATAAAAAGCCTGTACATCTTAGAGACTCTGCAAGAGCAAAATGGCTGTTCTCTAGTGCTGTCTTGTCTCCCTTCCAGTGACAATGTTCTGTGTCACAGAAAGCTCTTAGTGAAATAAGTTTTGATCAGAGACTGGATTTCAGAGGTCTAGACTGGGCTACCAACTTGATTTGTTTAACAGAATATGATTTTTGACTTTATGAAAACGAATCCATTCTTAGAGGTTGATTTTACATTCCCTTGGGTGTTGAAGAGAACTTCTACAAATGAGTTCCAAAATTTATGTGTGCATTCAGGACAACTGCTGGCCTACTGTGACCTCTCTGGGTAGACAAATTAGGAAAAGATACCTCCTTCGAGTTGACATAATTCTGTGGGCTCAGGACCTAGTAAATGGTAGCCTCCACTGTGTGAAGATCAAGGGTGGCCATTTCTCTGGATGTAGCCTAGAGCCAGGGTACCCAACTTGGCTAGTAGAGCTTTGGATTGTTCCCTGCCTTCTCACCCCTCAGCTAGTCCCCTTGTCATGCACAGTCTGCATGACCAAATGTGGGTCCACAGCATGGCCAGAAGGCATTGAGGACCAGGAGACACTGCAGCCCCCAACTGCTGGAGGGGCAGCCTGTGTGTAGATGAGGATGCAGGTTAAAGAATCACAGACAAGGCTTGCATCTTATTTCTGCCATGATTATCAGTGGGGTGTTCTGTGCAAGTTACTTAACTTCTGTGTGTCTCAGTTTCCTCACCTAAAATTAGAGTAATAATATCTTATCATTTAAGAAACTAAATTTTGTACTCAATAGATTTTTTTACATGCTGAGTTTATTTCTTAAAATCCTTTCACAAGAACCCATCAAAACTTAATATCATCATCACCAAAGCCACTCCCCCCACATCCTTCTTTTCTTCTATGAGTATTTGCTTCACTTTCTTGCTGTATCCAAACCTGGCTCTCTCCTGATTCTGTGTCCCCTGCAGCCTTTCCAAGTGGGGCTGTTCTGTCTCTTACCTTCCTATGCCACCTGGCTCATAGGCAGAGTCCTGCTCCTCATTGCTGCTTGCAGATCCTGTTCCCTGCCTCCTTCTAATACATTGAGCTTTGTACCTCATGTCTTCAGACGGCACCATCCAGCACTTCTTGATAGTTAGTGACCCATCCCAGGGCCACTCCTTACATTCTCTGCCTAGTATAGCTACTGTCTCCTGTGATAATTCCTGATGACTGCAGTGTCCATGTGGATACTGCAGAGATCATACCTGACCCCTTGGTTCTATAGACTTCTATTTTTCAGTGATCTACTTGTTCTACTCCTTATCTTAGTCACTTATTCCCATGGCCAAAAAAACCATCAACCATTCCAGAAGCTCAAATTTAAATACCTTTCTCTAACTAGCACTTCTTTTTCTTTCAGCTCACTTGTGACAATACACCAACTCTAGCAGTCCTACTATCTCATTGACTTTCAACCCATTGATCCCACTAGTCTTCATGGTCTCTAACCCTTCAATCTTCATTTTTCCAATTACCCAACTTGAACTCAATGTTGTGCATCCTGGCCTCTAAGCTCCTTTAGCATTTCCTCCAACTCCTTTGGCTAAGACACAATCCTGGTTAAACCCACCTCTCTGCCAATCTGTGCAGTCCCCATGCAGCTGCACATGGCTGGAGAAAACCACACAACCATGTGTACCATTCCCTCTCCCCCACCCCCACTGATGACCAAGTTTTTTGTGTCTGCAGTCCAAAGATATCTTCCACCAGTTTTAAGTACTTGAATCCATCCCATATCCTCTGTCTTCTTTCTTCTTACTGTGGTGAGCAGTTCATGGTCCATGTTAAGTAACCCTTGCCACACAGCTCATTCCCAGAGTCAAGGTGTCTGGACTGGCAGTTTCCTCTGCCTGGAATGTTCTTTCCCTAGCTGTCTGTCTTCCTTCTTTCCAACAGATCTTAACTCAAATACCATGTTCTAAGTGAGATCCTCTCTCTTTCAGAGTCCCCTACATACCACACTCTTGACATCTTCTGCCTATATTCTGTTCTTAACTATTTGCTAATGCCAGAGGGCTTGTCACTCTCTAAAACACCACATACTTTACTGGGTGATGCTTGTTTGTTGTCTCCCTGGAATATAAGCTCCATAAGGGAGGACTTTTGGTCTGACTTGTTCTCTGAGATTTCCCCAATATCTAGGACAGTGTCCAGCACAGAGAAGATGTGCAAGAAATGTTTGGTGAATTAAACAAAAAAGAATGAAAAGTTATTGACTCAATGAAATGACAAATGCCTGTGTGTGTGTTTACTCATTGCAACATTTTCCTTCTCTTCTTCTCTCCTGGCCTAGATACTGGATAAACTACTGGATGGAGATCTAACAAATAGACCTTCTTTCTTCCAGAATGTGACAGGATGTGCTAATTACTACAACCTTTTACAATGCACGGTAATGACAATATTTTAAAAACCATAATGTTTGCTTAAAATTTTGGGCAAAACCAAGCATCCTCTGATTTTGAAAACATTATAACTGACTTCATACTAGACAAAAATTCCAAACTATATTATATGATTTGGTCTAGCAACCTAGGGGATTTTCTTCCCACTAAGGTTATATATATGTTATAATCTGACCATCAAAAATGGTGATATGACAGGTAACTGAGAACAATTCTACTTAATGCAGTTTTCCCACTTGAGTTCATTCCACAGACGAGATTTTATGAAGGGTGCAGGCTGAGACTGTAGTTTTTGGTATTGAGTCTCAGTTTCAAGTCTATTTATGAATGTCTTGAAAATGCCAACATTCTTTGTTCTGTACTTCAGATGGCTTGGCTAATCAAAACCGCCAGAGCTTTTATGAAAATATTTGCTTTGTCTTACTTATAACTTAAGATGCTTAGTGCATTTCTTGTGGCCCTCACTTTGAGCCCTCTGGAATACTTCTTAAAGCATTCAAGTAGTTTCTTTCATAAAAGTAGGCCAAAGTTGATGTCTTTTGTGTAGAATTAATCAAATAAGACTAAGGGAGCCAAAATGGGGGTTTGGATTTGTCTAGTGCATATGAAAATGCATTTCAGTTTTAAGAACTGACTTATTTATGAACTCTTTGACAATTCCATTGTCAGTGGAATTTGCCAACCTTGTGGTTTTGAATTTGGATTCTACCAAGAACAAAACATGGTAGGAAAGAGAAACAAAAATTTGTGATTACAGTTTTTTTCTCTACAAAGTAGTGTATTCAAAGCAAAAATTGTTGATGAAGCACAGAATTGTTGAACTCAAGCCCTAACAGTATTGTGTAACTTGAAGATTTTTAAAAGAATTTACTCATTTTTTCTTTTAGTGTGATGATCACTGCAGAGAGTTTTATGCAGAATTTGTTTTTTAAATAAGGCTCCTGGACAATTTTTCTTTTGCCTTGTGTCCTTCATAATGTACCATCTGTTTTTATATTTTATATATTTCCCCCTTTAAATTATGTTCAGGTGATATTTTGTCTTCTGTTTAATGAACAGAAGACCATGGAAAATAAATCCTTGGCTTTTAATCCACCACACCACCCCTTGGTCCCTTGAGATGCACTTGACCTTCTTTCCACAGAGCCACTGACAAAGAGCAATTGATTTGGATAATCTCGCCTCTTTCCTTTTCCCAAATTTGCCTCTTACAGGGTTGCTAATTGGAGTCACAGATTGCAAAAGATTAGTTTTTGAAAAAGAAAATCAGCATCTGCAAATTGGATATTGACTCCAAAAGTATCAGATCATCCAGATTTTTCCTTCTAAAAGGCTCCCACTTAAATTACCTCATACCTCCGTGTTAAAATTTCAAGAGTGAGGACAAGTTAGTAGTTATGTCATATCTTGTTTATTGGGTTGTATATGAGAAATTTGTAGCTTTTCCCAATGTGCTGCTCTGTCATGAACTCATTTTCCCTAATATCTTTCTGGTGTGCCCTCTGCCAGGAACCTGAGGACCAAGATTACTATGGGAAATTTTTGTCACTCCCAGAAGTGAGACTAGCCATCCACGTGGGAAACCAGACCTTTAATGATGGATCTGAAGTCGAAAAGTACTTGCGGGAAGATACAGTGCAGTCAGTTAAGCCGTGGCTCACTGAAATCATGAATAACTACAGGGTAAGCAAGGCACCTTAGGTGCTATCTATTTTAGGAACTTTTCGATTACCCAGAGCAGAGGTGACTTTCTTTTACCTACAATTAGACTCATGCCTTTTAAAAATAACTTTTGTTATATTTATAAGCACAAATAACTATGTTTGACTTCTTTGAATCACCCTTTCTTTTTTTTTCTTTCTTTTTTTTTTTTTTGAATCACCCTTTCTTGAGAAAAGGATAGCAGAGGAGAAAAGATGACTGGGCTTATAGAAGAGCCAATTTTGCCTGATTGTTTGCTTTATAATTTGAGCTACAGTAAAGACAAGGATAAATGAAATCAACTGGTTATCCCAAAAATGTATTTTGCTAATAATTGTATTCACCCCCTGTGCTCAGCGGCAGTCATTTCAGTGTCTGCTTTAAAGCCAAACACTCCTTTGGTCTGTCAGGTTGAAGTCATAGATGAGAAAGGTCCCGGTTCTGAGCATGTCACGTCAAGCACTATGTCATCTGGTGAGATGTTTTGCCTAATTTGCTAGTGAAGGTATTATAGAAATTAATAGAAAGTATAAATAATATATAATATATAGAGAAAGTAATATATAATTTGGGTCTAGGCAAAGGGGCCTAGAACTCTATCTGTGAGGGAGGACACCAAGAGCAAGTGACCTCCAGAGAAGTCATCCTGGCCTTGCCTCGCCTTTTTCAGGACTATTATCATTCATCCTAGGGATGGACCACAAGGCAACCCTGAAGGGTAAATGTACTAATGATAGAGAATTTTTCCTCCCTATGTCTGGCAGAGGCAAGGGTAATGTTTAGGATGAATGAAAAATAGGGGAGCCAGTAACACATAATGTACTTTTGTATGAGTCAGAGGAAAACTTCCTCTCTTCTAAATACTTTATTTCCATCCACCATACAGCTTTTATTAGACCCAAGCTCTTTATTTGCATATTCCAGCATGACGAATATACATTTCTTTCTATAATGCCTGTTAGGAATGAGGCCCCTTAGTAATTTTAGTGTACTGTCTGCATTATTGTCCAGGGAGTCCCTGACCAAATGCACCCTTACTACATTAGGTTTCAAGATATGCTAGCTCTGGAAGATCCACTTTTTTGGTCCTGTTCCTGCTAGACAGAGTTTGACTTGTAACCTTTTAAAAAAGTAATCCAAGGCCAATGGCATGAAAAAATCTACAAACCCATGTAAGCCTGGAGATCTGGGTGAAAAAGTTACTTTCTAACAAAAAAAGGTTCTAACTAGATCAGGGCAGCATTTCAATCATCCTTGTGGTTTGTTCTGCTGGAGAATGCAGTGTTCTCCTGCTCTGAGCACCCCCAGAAAGCACTGTCTGCCCTTGTTCTTAAGCTCTTCGTACATGGCACTGCCATCATAGATGCTCAGTCTGACACCCATCCCAGTACCAACCTGGAGCAGAGGCCCATGACCAATGAATTAGTGAAGGGAAAATTGGTGCTAAACCAAAAACGTAGCTAATAAACTTGCCCATATTCCAGTTGGTAGTTGTCATCTTCAAATTTAGTAAACCCCAAACAGCTTGTGCTTATGTTTTAAGACATGAACAATCTGCTATGAAAAAACATTAAGGAATGCAAAGTGGCTTTGTTCAGTGGATAGAGAGGTTCCCACGTACATTACTTGTGCCCTTGGGAGATATATTTTCTCACTTTATAAATTACATGAGAATAGGATGGGGCACACAGTTTATCATATAAACTCCCCTGATGTCAGCCAATTGCCATAGACTGTTCACTGCATTGATAAGAGAGGACATACTGATTAGAGATGAGCCTAAATTTTCATATTTAAACATCCCTCCCTGTTGCCCAGGTAACCCAAGCCTATTGTTTTAATCTGTCCAGATTGCTATAACAAAACACCTTAGACCAGGAAATTTATAAGCAAGCAAGCAAAAAAAAAAAAAAAAAAAACCAAATAACAAAACATCTTACTGCTTACAGCTCTAGGGGCTTGGAAGTCCACGATTAGATTTGCTCTCTACTTCATGTTGCCTTCTCTGCTACACTCTCACATGGCAGAAGGGGCTAAGCCTCTTTAATAAGAATATTAATCACATTCATGAATGATCCACCCTCATGATTAAATCATTTTCCAGAAGTCCCCACCTCTTCACACTATCACATTGGGAATTAGGTTTCAGCATGAGTTTTAGGGTAGACACAAACATCTAGACCATAGCATCTTATCACTATGAATTCCAATAAAATCAGGATATTTTCTATGGTTTTCAACTCTGAAGTAATTTCCAGGAAAGAGAACAGGTTAGTGGTATAGATAAACCACATATCCATAAAGAAAGAGAACAAAATACTCATTCAATCTGAATGCAGACCAAAAAGTGACTGCTGCTGAAACAGACTACATATTCATTGATACAGCTGGCCTAGCTCTTCAGGCAGTGGTTTATTGTTGGCTTGTCTGTTATTGATGGGGAACCTCAATGTATGTGTAATGGAATCAGAACAACATAGGTTGGCTTAAGTTGTTAGTACCCTTAAAGTTATACTTATGTAAAACTCACTTCTAATTTGTCATAGAAAGTAGTGTGCCTGTTTCTATTCATAAAAACATAAAAGCATTTGTCTAGCACTAGACTCATTTTAGCCAGTGTGGAATATCTCTGATTGGGTGAGGAGTGACTTCACAAGTGTCTTGGATTGGGTTTCCATGCAGTTTCTGTGTAAACTACATGAAAACATAATCATCTTTTTGTAATGACCGTCAGGATATGTATACTCTAAGTAATTTTCTTCTCAGTAACTTCAGATGTTTGAGTAGTAAATTGAAATGTCATATTGGTAGTTTCCAAAATAACTGGTGTGAAAAACAACCTATTGGACTATTTAAATTCCTAATGATTAAATCAGGTCAAACTGTTATCAGGACTTTCAGAAACTGGCAGTAAAAGAACATGGTGGTTGGAGCATATTCTCAAGTCTCACATTTTGAGTTTGAGTTCTGGTTTCACCATTCCTTGGCTGTGCTCCTTTGGGAGACAGTACTTAACTCTCTGAGCTTCAACTTCCTTATCTGTAAAATGGGTGTGAATTCTTACAAAGTTCAAATGAGACTAGATATAGAAAATATTTAAAATAGTGCCTGGTAGTTAGAAAGTGTTTATAATCTATTACCAAGAATATTCAACAAATTTTAGCAAAATTCTCTATAAGAGCCTGTTATATAAATTTATACAAGAAACCCAGGAAAACGCAAAAAGAAAAAGGCTGAGACTTCCATTTCCATTTCTAGGGCGCTTAGAAGTCACCACTCTGTCTCAATAGCAAAAATCTCAACAATCAACTCTTCTTAAATTCGTGAGAGGTCAAGGCAAGCCACTGAACTCCATGTTGGAGAGTCAGACTATAGCCTATAGAGAGGTGGGGACTCAGGAGAAGGGACCTGCATGGAAACAGAGCTGGGTTAGGGGCACCACAGCTATAACTGACAAGGTATGAAGATACTAGAGGCTCGGTGTGGACAAGTCTGAGAGCTAAAAATTCAGAGGAGGGGCCCACTTTGGGACGCCTGTATGTTTTTATGAATTTAGCTTCCAACAATTCAATATGGTGCCCACAGTGAATATTGGAGAAACATCCACCATGCTTGTGGAAGGGGGAGGGGAGAAGAAAGCATTTGGAAATAGGCCAGAGCACACCAGTCTTAAAGGGCCTGCTTTTAGGAGAAACTATTTTACCAGAGCCTAACCTGGTAGAGTTTAATCAGAGTCTACCTACCAGGGGGAGGGAAATATAGATGTTGCTCAACTTACAGTGGGGTTACATCCCAATATACCCAGAATAAGTTGAAGATATCATTAGTTGAAAATGTATGTAATATGATCCACCTGACGCTATAGCTCAGCCTCACCTACATTAAACATGCTGAAAACACTTACATTAGCCTGTAGTTAGGGAAAATCATCTAACACAAAACCTATTTTAAATACGTGTTAAATATCTCATGTACTCTATTGAAGGCATGACAGCCTACGGAAACACAATGCACAACATCCAAAAACACTGGCCACATGGTGGTATCAGTTTATCCTCACAATTTCGTGGTTGACTGAGAACTGCAGCTCATTGTCACTGCCCAGCATTGGAAGAGAGTATTGTACTATGACTAATCCTGGAAAAGATGAAAGTCCATAAAACTGAAGTGCAGTTTCTTTTGAATGTGTATCACTTTCATATCATTGTAAAGGTGAAAATAAATCAAACTATCATAAGCCAGGAAGTATCCATACCTAACTCTAATACCTCACCAGCTATTTTATTCCACTTGGAGGTGGTAGGCAGCAACTGAGAGGCACTGGTGCAGTTCACAGTCCAAGGCATAGGCTCCTAAAAGATTGAGACCTAATGAGGACTATAGAACACTTCCTTTTCCCTCACAACTTACCACAACGTTACTACAGTTCTGTTAACCTAGTACACTATGTCCATCTTTCAACAAAAAATTACAAGGGAGACCAAAAAGCAGAAACCAGTTTGAAGAGACTGAGCAAGTATCAGAACAAGAATCAGATATGGCAAGACTGTTGGAATTAATAGACCAGGAATTTTAAAGAAACTGTGACTGATATAGTAAGGATATTAATGGAAAAGCTAGACAAACTGCAAGAACAGGTGAATAATGTAAACAAAGATATGGGAATTCTCAGAAAGAATAAGAAAAGAAATCTTAGCAATAAAGACACTATAAGAGAAATGAAGGAATGTTTTTGATCATTCATTAGCAGATGGCATGCTAAGGAAAGAATCACAAAACTTCAAGATAGAAACTTCCAAAACTAAGAAGCAAAAAAATAAGTCTTTTAAAAAAAAGGAAAGAAGAGGGAAAAAAGAACAAAATATCCAAAAAACAGTGGATCAACTACAAATGATGTAATTTACACATAGTGAGAATTCCAAAAGGAGAAAAACAGAAAGGAACCAAAGCAATATTTGAAGCAGTGATGCATGAAAAATTCT